TTCAAATTTTAAATCTAGCTACAAAGAAAAATCCTTTATTTAAAAAGTAAAATCTAAATTGAAGTTTATTCTCTTTTTAAAGAATTACCTTAATTTCGCTCATTAAAAGATTAGTTTGTTTATATCATTGTGTATCGTCACACCCTATAAACATCTACCCAAATGTGGATATTATTGATTTAAACACATTCGTGACGTCATGAGGGGTATTCGAAGGGACCACGTGATTTTGGGCGTTAACCCTATTGTTCTCCCGAACGGGGAAGGAAACAAAGGGTGGTGTAATTTACGGAGATTTATAATTAACGCCTCGAATTTTGATTTCGTCATTATAATACTTTTTTCTTTATTTTATTTTACTCTTTCATTACTTTTCGAAAAATTTTCCCTTTAATTGCAGACCTCAACTTTTCTCTTTCAGAACATAGAAAATGGAAACGCTAGCCTATGAATTGCCGCATCATTGTGGTAAACTCGCAATGAGATAGATAGAAGGAAAGAAAAAATTCGTCCCGGGAATTAAATCGATTAAGGACAATTCCAACAACGAGTTGGTGGAAAGAATTGCATTAATTAGGGATACATTTACTTTTAAATAGTTAAAGAAGAGGTCGTGGCATTAGCAGATCCATCAGTCACCGTTGAAGAAATTCTTCGAGACATCGAAGTTATAAAAATTATTTTATGCTCACAAAACAGCCCTTTTTGTTTTATACAAATTTAATCCGTACTGTATTCAACCTTTAAATACTAATTAATTCAGTTTTCAAAAAGAAAAAGCATTCATATTTTGGTCGTTTAATTCAAAACTATTGATATTTTTTTAAAAAATTTCACAGGAAGAATCAGATATTAGAAAATCTTCTTAGATACATGATTTCTTTTAAAAATTATATTTTATTTATATGTTCCAGTTTTCATTAGACTAGTCTGTGGGATAAAAGCTCTTGACAATTTTATCATACTGTTTTTGCCGTGAAAAAATCTCGGGCTTATTTTTTTAATTGAAAAAACTAATATTTTTAGTATTTATATGATTGTCTTTTGTTTCCAAATTATTAGCATAATATTTAATTAAACAAAAATCTAGTTTCGAAATTAATTTTATAGCTTAAAAACAAATAAAAAGTTTTTACTTTTTATCATCGAAATCACTAATGACTATTAACTCAAGATTTAACATAAATATAGACTCAAGACTTCCAAAATAATAATAATAATAATTTAGAAATTTAAAAAAATAATTGGTCGAACTGGTTCGAGGTTGGCTAAATAAAGCAACTGACATGGAATTTCATTATTTCTAGTTCAAAGAAAGATTTTGCTTTCAAGAAGTTTTTCACGTTATTAAATCCTGTAGAGAAGTTAATTCTATTTATTATTTTGGACCCCCTCAACACTTATAGAAATAATCATCCAAATAATCAGTATAATAATAATAATAAAAATCCAAAATAATCAATTTCCATCTCTATCCTCCCCGTTATGTGCCTGCATACTATTTGGAGGCAGCCGAAAATGAAAATTTGAGGCGATACATTAGTTGGTAACTACGAAAATTTAATCGGTTTTAATGATGAAAGATAACTGTATTATACCAAGTAAATTAATATCCGATTATATATATCCAATAATAATATAGTTATAAAAATAAAATCCGAATATAAAAGTAAAATACTTTACAATAATAAAAAAAAATTATTAATTTTCGTTTAACAGTAACTCTTAATTTATTAAAAACTGCTTTGACAAATTGTAATAAATGATGATTAACTTCCAAAACATTAACGATAAAAAGCAACTATAGCTGCTGTAATTACCCCTACAAGTTTCTTTTCGACAGAACTTGGTACCTACAAGGAAGAAAAGTTTTACAGGAAAATTAACTTGCCAACGAAGGCGCTAAGACTTCATGTGGGATACGTGCTTACTTCGAACTTCCTTAGTCGAAAAAATAATAAAATAAAACAAAGCTTTTGTACCTTATGCTGGAAATCTTAATGTAAAGAATAGTAGAGAAGTAAACCACTATTTTTAACTTTCGAAAAAATATTAAGAAATCGTCATTTTGTCACCGAGCTTATGATTGATTCCGAATATTTCAAAATTGCTAATAAAAATTTAAAATCAAATACCAGTAACAAAAATTTTAAGAAAATCCGAGAAACCATAATATTTGTGCACTGACGGCTAAAAATTTGGATCAGAAGTTCATAAATACACATTTAAAGATACAGAAACAATATTAGTATATATTTTGAACACTCATTATGTGTCAGTAACTAATTTTTAAGCAATCAGTTAGAAATTAGTTGACCTGTGATTTTTCAAAGCCAAATCATTTAACGTAAAAAGATTATTAATTTCCTAGAGAGAGCACTTTGAATAAAGAACACTAAAGCCGAAACTAAGAACTAAGCCGAAAAAAAAAATAAGAAAAACTTACACCCCACGTTTATTTATCACTTGTCCCAAATGGCAAAATGTTTACAATCGTCACGAAAATGGAACATTAACTTAAGCCTTGAATAAGAACAAAAAAATTTCAGCTCTCACAAAAAGAGAACAAGAATTATGAAAAATAGGAGTAAAACTAACCCCCGATGCAAGGAATATGAATGGGTGGTTTTTGAGCAAACAAAGCAAATATGATAATGTCTCTTTCAGGCTAAAGGAAAAAGCAAAAACACCAAGGCATGAGATAAAAAAAAAAAATCTATATAAATAGTCACTTAAATCTAAATTGAAATATATTCAAGGAACAAAAATGAGCATACACTATGGGGAAGAAAAGAAAAAAAGAAAGAAAAAGAAATGATAATAACACACACAACAAACCAAAAAGTACTTAAGCTTTAAGTCAGGACTCGGATTGAAGTTGTCGTCAATTTAAACGCGAGACTAAAGTTGAAAGAAGAAGAAAAAAAAAGTAATAATAAACTCTTGAGGGGGAGTAGAAAATTAAAGACCTTTACATAAAAAAAGGGTGAAAAAATATTAGAGCTAGCATTAAAGAAGTCGAGAAGGATAAATAAATAAAAAAAGAAAGAAAGCCATAGCTGAGATGCCGAGAGCTACCTAATCCTAACAGCTATTTAAAGATAAAAAGCCTCCTTAGTCCAACTTTCGACAAGACGAACTAAATTCATTTTTCGAGATAGGAAAAACAGGGTAGAATATCGGCAATTAAGTGATATCCCCTTTCCTAGAGTATTTTTCAAGGAGGATTTGTACGATGTTATGGATTGCATAACGACGGGGAAAGCTTTGCAAAACTTTTCTGACATGTTAGCAGAGATAGATTAATAACCACCCAAAGATGTTATGGCTATGTATTTTTTTTTATTTTAAAAAATGAGAACACCACCAACGCCTCTAACCTATCCTCGCTTCGGAAAGAGATAAAGTAGATTTTAGCATTTAAGATCGTATTCTAAAAACTAAATCTCTCGAATTAAAGTAAAATATTATCTGATTAACTTTTTTTAAAGTATTCTATCATTTCAGATTTTTTTTACAACAAAATAATTCAGTGTGTGAAATTTTCAAGGTTTTTTTTTTTAATAAAATATTAATATGTGTCGTATAATTATTTTGTACTTCAAATTTATATGATCTTTACCTTTATTATTCTTATCAATTTATTTCGATCAAAATAAGTATTATAAACAATAAAATCAAATCAGTTTCCTATTAAAAAAATAAAAGTAAACAAAACATTTTATTCTCCAGAAAATACTATTCATGAAAAGTTACATAATTTTTAATTTTAAATCAATATTCAAATAAGGAAAAATAATAAGAGTACTAAATAAATAAACAAAAAACATTTTTTAAACATCAAACAATTTTATATTTCAATATGTGAGAACAAGAAGACATCGCAAAATAAGTTAAGTGGAAAAATAAACAATATATTTTTTAAAAATTAACTAAGGTAGCTAGTTTAGAAACTGACACTGCAGACAATTTTGGTCTCATTTTGTCGAATTTGAAGACTTCAAGAATTTAAATCAATGCTCCTTATATACTTATCGAAAATTTGCATAAATTCTAAAACATAAATCACACATTTTTCATCAGATTAGTTAACTTTTTCTAATTAAAATTATTTGTCTTATTTTTAAATTAGAAAACTATTAAATTGGGTACTTGCATTTTACGAAGAAGATCCCAGATACCCACAAATATCACCTATGACGACAGCACCAGCTGATCGTTTATTAGCAAAATGGATAAATTTCTCCTCATAAGTTAGAATGTTAATTAACGTGAAATTAATTAAATACAGCGCAGTATCAACCATCAAATTAGATGTAATATAATTCTTTCTCGTCTGCTTCTTTTACTTAACTAAGATTTATTACTTTTTTTAAAGTATTTTATTTCAGCCGTTTTGTTTTGTGTACCTGGCAACTTCGATGCATAATTCGTTTGTTTTTGTTCTACATGGTTTCACGCTTTAGTGTTAAGAAATATGTAGTGAAATAATTGAAATCTCTGCAAAAGAATCTTTGTGAAAGAATATGAAATGTGTCAATTAAGAGTTGATACTATACGGGCTTGGCTTACTGGAAATGGAATGAAATGAATAGTTGCTAACGTTAACAAATGCCTCTGTTTAATACCTCTGGGGGTACTGGATTGGAGATCGATCGTTCTTTGATTCAGGTCAAAATTACGATCTGTGGATGTATGAATGGGTCCACCCTATAAAACGTCTGTGACGTTTGGTGTGGCATAAGTCGTATTCTTGGCCATAGATGGCGCCACAGAAAAACAAGAAACACATACTCTGCCTTAAATTTGCTCGGTTTCAACAAGCAGGCTTGCCCGTGTGGCAAGTGGTATTAAAACCAACCAACCACGTTTCAACAACCAATCAGGATTGAGATACCCACACATAAGATACCTACAAGTATCTTATTGTATTCATAATTGTAAAAAATTTGTTGAAGCATGGGTCATTGATTTTTGATGCTAAAAAAAAAGGTCCTCACCTTCTTGTGTGAAGCGTCATCCGGACTGAATAATCTGTCATCACTGTTTTGCTGCGACTGTCGCGATACACCAGCGAGAACCTGCAGCAATAGGTCTTGTTGTAATTAAAAGCAAAGAAAACTAGCATCACATATCAAATTATAGTTCAATTACTGGCTGTTACTGATTAATTTGTTAGTATTATTAAGAAATTTGGATGGCTTAAATATTTGATATCGTCCAACTATCCCTTCCGAATTGCAACCATAAAGATTCAAATCGAACACTTTGGAAACGCTGAAAATTATTGCAAAAGATTTGTGGATAAAGTTGGTGCTCATTTTGGAAACAGAAAGTAAAATAAACTTTAATTAAGCCATAAATTAATAATTATTCATGAAACTTTCTGAAACACTTTATTTTGGAAAAGAAAATAACATTAGACTGTTTCTATCTATCTTAATAAATAATTAAATATTAAAATTTAAAAAAATCAAATAATATAACTAAATAATTCAAAAGACTTTCTTTTAAACTAATTTTTTTTAAAAACTAAAGCAGTTTCTTTTAAACTAAAAAAATTAACTCAATAATTTTATTTAATTTTTTTAAATTTTTTTTTTATATATAAATAACAATTAAGTATCCGGGTTCGTTTTAACTAGGATTTTTTGAAGTCTGTTTCAAGAAAAAGAGTTGTTTGATCAAAATCACTCAGGTAAGATAAAAATAAAATATTTTTTTTTCTCTTTGTAGGGAGAGATTAAAAAAAGTAAATAAAATCAAAAAGTTGGTTTTGTTTTGATCCAAACGACTTAAGAAAAGTTTCAATAACCTCAAGTTTATCTTAACTTGAAAACAAAATGTTTATAAAGTTAAAAATATTGTTGCGTATTGCCATTAATTCCATTCATAAGCTATTAAGATAGATCTCCACTACTTCCTAAAATAGCATTACTCGCTCATCGAATTTGAAGAAATCTTTATTGGGACCTTTAAGATTAAAAAAAAAATTCCGCCCAAGATTCTTCATTACAACAGAATTAATACTAATTGCTCAGCTGTTCGCTTACCCAATAAATTAATTAGCATTGTCCTGGATAGGAAGAAATGCAAAATTTCCACTCCTAGACAAGTTCCCGAGAGACGAGTAGAAAACGTCGTTTTTGAAAAAAAAAAAACTGTCTTCGTAATTGAGATGCCTTCTTCTCTGCATAAAAGCACCACTATGCCTGCCAACTGAACAGAAACGCTAATTAAATTGCAGTTGTTTTTACCTTTAAAAAGAAGAAATAACTTTGGTATTTGTGTTGTAGTATCTTTACCGATCGCATTAAAGAGGCTTTCTTTGCGCAATGTATTTGTCATTAAGGACATACCTAACTTTTCCACAAAACAGCGTTTTTTTTAATTGTAATTTTTTTTTGTTATAGAATAAATAAAAAGGTTAATTACAATTTTCATTTTGTCAAATAATAAAATCATTGTCTTTAGTCGTTTTTCAAATGACAAATCATATAAAATTTTTGTAAATTTTTTTTTTTTGTAACGCAAGCATTTTATCAGAGAAATTTTAAAGGTAAATTTATATTCTTCAATTTCATCGCATGTCGATTGGCCTGTGTAGGGGTCATGGAAGTGACTTTGCATAAGAAAGGTTCTGGGTTCGAATCCAGGAAATTACATGTTCTTTCATTATCTGTGCTATCTGTCCTTAATGTGGGAGCAACGTTGGCTCACCTAATATGGTGCCCTTGAAAGAGAGATCCACAAATCTGCCTTTTAGAGGCCTGTATGACGAAAGGTCATTAGCCAGGTGGTCATTAGAAAAAAAAAAGTTTCTTCGCATTCAAATTTTTAGGACCATATGAAGCAGAGTTACATTTTGTCTGGTTAAAAGACTATTTTGCTAAAGCTCTGTCGTCACTGACAACGCTTTCTTTCTTTCTTTTTTTATTCTCTGCATAATATCTATTTTTATAACTGTTGTAAGTTTGATCCAGTTTTTCAGGATCAAGTTCCAATTTTAGTCTATATTCATAAAATAAACACTTTAAAAAATATCTAATTTAGGCACAAATACTTTAAGTATTCAATTATAGTACAGTGGAAGGATAATAGCAGTCGTAGTAAGCCTAAAGTTCAAAAATTTTAATAGTCATTCTAACTTTCGCGTGTAATGCTTATCAATGATGCTTCATATAGCAAGTTTTTCAAAATTTCGCAGAAAGAGAGCATAACACCGTTAAATTAAATTGAACTGTCCCTTAAAAATTTCATAAAGGTTATGAGTTAAAATTTTCTAGGACGATACAGAAAAATTTATTAGTAAATACAATATAAAAAGAATTGTCAAACTCATGCTGAATGAACAAGTGCAAATCAAGATTTATAAATAATGCTGATGGAAAAAATACGAAATATGTATAGACATTTTTCCCATTTCGTATTGAAAAATAAAGTCTGATAAGGATTTAAAAAAAGCAATAATTTTTTTGGAACTCTCATTACAATAACTTTCATTTCAATTCAATCAATTTTGGGAAGCTTTTGGATTGCTAAGAATTGATAGTTATTGAAGTTAAGTTCACGTTTATCAATAGGCTTAGATAGAAATTTAACATCCACACCTTATACATAATTAAAAGGTTGATAGTTATTAATGCAATGTTCACGCTTATCAATAGCTTTAGATAGAAATTTGATTTGCATGTCTACATTCGAAGTACACTATGATTCAACCGATATATTGAAAGATATTTGTATGAACTCTTAAGTAGAATATAACATACCATTTGTCCAAACATAAAATTTCCAAAACAATTGTAACAAAGTAACTTAAATTTTAAATGAATAAAATATATTTTAACTTTTTTATTTGAAAGCACAGTAATTGTTTGTTTTGAAAAAGAAATTTTTCAAAAGTATATTTCCTGAAATTTTTCAAAAGTATATACATAAAAGTATTAGTAAAAGTAATTAGATATTTCAGTACTTTCAATCACAGTGTACAAAATTTTGATTTCTAAATAATTATATCTCAAAACGTTGATTTAAAAAAATAAATTTTTTTTTCTTGCAAAATGAACTAGTAATTCTTTCTTTAACTGAAATTTGCTCTTACATACATTATGAAATACAATATCACAGATAAAACTTGTATAAATGATCACGGAGTGAATGACGCTATTGATGCTTAGCATGAAACGGCCGTTTGTATTTGAAACTTTTTTATTGATTTTAAATTAAATTTTACTATAAAAAATGAAATAAAATAAATAAATAAGTGAATCAATATTTAGTGCATACAAGCTTCTAAGGAAACTAGGAATGACTTTTATACAAAATCTCAAAAAGTATGTATGAATGAATATCCTAAATAAAAATAAATAAAAAAATATTTTTTGATTTTAAGAATAAAATTTTTCATCACCAACAAGAGGTTGTTTTACATTTTTCTATAAAGATCCAAACCACCCCACCATTTAAATCCAACTACACCTACATGGGTGACGTCATTAATGTAAGGTGCAAAGGCAATTTGATTGTCGCCGTTTATTATTATATTTCGTCGTAGGGAAAAGAGGGGGGTTTGAAGTTGGAAGAATTGGATGATATAAAAGAGGGGAAGAGGCTGTTGGGGGGAATATTACGGAGAGGAAGGGTAGATCAGGGAAGTAAAGGGTTATCCTTATCGATCGCTTAATAAGTGCGTGATTCATCCATTAAAAAAAATTGAATGCGTGGTCTGCTTGAATTAGAGCCTGCATTAAAATGGCGGACAGAATTTTTAATGAAAGTAAGTTCCTTGTGCTTTAATGGCGATAGTAAGGTTTTCAAAAACTCCTTGTTGTGAAAGGAAAGACAACGAATTTTAGCACTTATTTTGGATATGCGGCAGTGAAATTAAAATACCAATCTGACTTTTTAAACAACAAAAATGCTTAATGAATAATTTAATTAAGTCTACGTATAACAAAATAAAAAAAGGCTGCCAATTACTTTTGCACAACAGATTGTACTCGTATGAATTTACTCTTACATTTACTAATAAAAATAACATTTAATGTATAGTCATGGCAAATATAGTCCTAAAAAAACTCAACATTAGGAAGCCAAAATGTATGTTGATTAATTCATATTTACAACACCATTTAATATTTCTATGTAAATAAATATACCTAAAGTTTTTTTTCAATAAATATGTCTAATAATAGTTACAAAGTATCGCGTTCCAATTTTTTTTTCTAATTTTATAGTGAAAGTAAATGAAAAACTTCTTTATTACAATTTTTCAGTCGTTAGAGAACCATATGAACCATGATAGTTATATTTGTGACGCACGATATCCAATGATAGTTGTATCAGTTTTATAGAGATCTCTCTATAAAATTCCGATCCTTTCTAAAGCACTATAATGTTGATATTTGTACGAAAGCTTGAATCAAAGACTAAATTTACAATTTGTTTAAACTAGAGTTTAAAGTACTACAAATAATTTCCATCGCCAAGTTTTGTCCTTCTTTTTAATTATTATCATTGTTTTATGGCCAGCGTTGAGCAGCCGACTTAATTCTGAGTTTGCGACTACCAATGTTCAATTCTGTAGCTTTGTAATTTTGGACCTAGTCCAGAAGACGAGGAAACTTTTGGATCAAATATTGGGGTAAATTTGCCTTCATTAAGGACTTTTTAATGGAACTACACGGAGAGGAAAACCACAAAACCCCCCCCATAGTTAGCCTAATGGCAAGGGGACTCTAACCCATGATCTGCTTACAACTGAGGATATTTTATATCAGAACTGTGATCGGTGCGAACCAGAGCGGAATTCTTATTGATCAGCTATGACTTGGATCGAACCGGAGTCACCTCATTGGAAGAGGAGCGCCCTGCTCTTTTTCTTCAAGTTGTGCAAATTCTTTAAACAATCCTAACATCCCTCTAGAAGTTTTCAACAAACCAGTAAATTTAAATTTTCCGTTAGTAGCTAGCCAGTGGTCGGTAGACTCAAGTGAATAAGTAGCTACTTTTTCCTAAAACCGAATGAGTCGGTGACCGATATCGATCATTTATCCATGATAATTATTTATTGAAAAAA